GAGAGAGAGAGAGAGAGAGACAAGACAGAGAGACAGAGAGACAGAGAGACAGAGAGACAGAGAGACAGAGAGACAAGACAGAGAGACAGAGAAACAGAGAGACAGACAGACAGACAGACAGACAGACAGACAGACAGACTGACAGGCTGACAGGCAGGCAGGCAGACAGACAGACACACAGACAGGCAGGCAGGCAGACAGACACACAGAGAAAGAAAGAGAAAGAAAGAATGAACAAATGAATGAACGAACGAAGGAAGGAAGGAATGAATAAATGAATGAACGAACGAACGAGGGAAGGAAGGAATGAGTGAATGAATGAACGAACGAAGGAAGGAAGGAATGAGTGAATGAATGAGTGAATGAGGGAATGAGGGAACGAATGAATGAATGAATGAATGAATGAATGAATGAACGAATCAATGAATTAATGTATGAATGAATGAATGAATGAATGAATGAATGAATGAATGAAGGAAGGAAGGAACGGACGAAGGAAGGAAGGAGGGAGTGAATGAATGAAATGAGTGAATGAATCAATCAATCAATAAATGAACGAGTGAACGAAGGAAGCAATGAAGGAAGCAAGGAATGAATGAGTGAAAGAATGAAAGAAAGAAAGAAAGAGAGCGAGAGAGGGACCATAGATACCCTTCCTTATGAAACAGGAAGGTGTAGCCTCGAGCGAGGGCCCGGGGGCGGCCATGGACTTCCATGGTGCGACGCCGCTGCTGAAGCTTTCGGGTTTTGAGGGCTTCGCGTTCCTCTAGGCTTTCAGGAAAAAAAAAACTTCAGGGCTGTAGGGCTTCAGAATGTTTGGGCCCTGGGCTTTAGGGCCTTTAGGGTATTGAAACTTCGGGGCTGTGGGACGTTTGGCGCTGCGCCGAGCGCTGGAAGAGTTTGCAAGAGGTAAATGGATTTGCGCCGGGTTTGGAAGTCGGAGGCTTAAGTGTCAGTGTCAGAACACGAGTCACGGTAGCGGAGCCTGGGAGGTTCTCCGTTCTTGAGCGGTGACTTCTTGCGGGCAGGAAAGGTGTGAAAGCTTCGAAGTGGGCAGAGGAGGAAGTGGTAGGAGTAGCAACAGTCGTCGTAGAAGTTATATTATCATTCGGTTTGCTGATGTTAGGATTATCGATGCTCTCGCTGCCATCTACAAAACCTGCTGCTGGAACTGCTGCATCATGCTAGTACCGCTCTGCTTCTCGAAGCTCAGCCTCCGACTTTGCTTCTCCGATCTTTTCTCCTGCAAGACCGATGCCAAGTGCAACTCGACTGCCATGGCATCTGGAGGCTCAGTGGGCCTCCTGCGACAGAGCACCAGCATAGCTGAAGGCACCTGTCAAAGGAGAGCCGACCAAGAGCGACTCAACGAACTAGCAAGACCATGCTACATAAACCTTATAGGTAGTTTTCTAAAGTAGGGCCTTTAAATCCCCAAAATAGTCCGGCACCCTTATAAAACGCACCCTCAACCGGAAGCTTATTTAGAGAAAGCTACCCATAACCATAGAGCTTCCTTAAACTTCCGCTCTGGTGGATGCACCGAAGGGGGCGGCCAGCGGAAGCCGCAGCAGCCACTCCACAGCCGGCATGAAAGTCGGAACCTCGACCAACGGGTTTAGGGTTTAGGGTTTAGGGTCCAGCCCGGTTTTAAGCTTCGGGCTTATGGTCCAGAGGGTCAGTAGGGCCTTTACTGATGAACGCTGGTTTGTCATATATCGACATAATGGCCAGACGCATGCGATCCGATGAGCCTAATCTGTCTCAAGCTTCTATCATGGCGGTGTGGCCGGGGCTGAGACTTTAGGGTTTAGGGGTACCGCTCTCAGCAACTTGAGCAGAAAACCCTCCAAACGAACTCTGAAAAGCCGCCTTTGGTATTGAACTCGGCCCAATGACGTTCTAGGGATCTCTACAGCAACCGAAGACCAGGACCGAGGGACATTCATGCGGTAGAGCTCGATGAAAGTCCTTTGGTGAATGTCCTTCGGGGTTCGAGCTCTGGGTTTAGTTGTCTTTTTCGGTTCAGGGTTCTCTGGTCGAGGAAGGTGTCACTGGTAGTCCGGACGACTGGCGTGAGGAGATCTGCGAGATCCACAAGGCAACGCTAGGCCTGAGCCGAGATCCGAAACTCCAAGCCAAGTCGACAACCCGGCAGAACCCGAGCTCCGAAGGAACGAAGAAGGCGGCCGCACAGCGTGCCATCTCCTAACGGGGACATCTCACTTCCGTGCTTCAGGCAGCCAGGGGAATAAAAGTAGCAAGACTTGCCTGAAAGCTCGTAGAGTCGTACAGACAATCAGTGTACGTAACAGCAGCAACGACGGCAACAACAAAAAAAAACAACGACGACAGCGACAACAGCAATAGCTGCTACCAGCCAATTGACATAATCATTCACACGGCAGCAAGCGGTTCACAATGCAGATGTCAGCAATGTGAGCACTACGTCACAACTACCGCGAGGACACATGTCGTCATCATGCTCGGCAGCATCACTGTCACCATCGCCTGTCTCATTGACGTTCATCCCCAACATCATCGCCGTCATCACCATCCTCCTCCTCATCATCACGACCATTACAAATCATAAGACCTCAAGACCTCGAACTTCCTGTTTTCGCCTGATAGCACCGTTTCCGGCTAACAGCGGCTCCTGATTCCATACAAAGCCTGAACGCTGAAGCCCCAGACAGCTCCCGGCTGACTCTCGAAGCCCTTCAACCCAGAAACCCCATAAACCCCTACAATCTCTATGAAGCCCTAAACCCCATAAAACCCTACAAACCCTAAAATCCCCAAAACCCGCAAGTAACACCCTATAAACAAGTATAAACTATAAACCCCTAAGGCAACCCCTAAACCCCTAAGCCCCTGCAGAAACCCAAACAAACCGACTCCTCCCAGCTTTTCCAGGGATCGCCGCCCCCACCGAAACCAATGTCACGGACTTCATCTGCCTGCGAAGGTTTTGGGTGTAGGGGCTTTTCGCGGGGTGCTTTAAGGGCTCTTGCAAGCCTATGAGAGTTCCACAGTCCCATAGAGATTCTGCAAAGAGTTCGACAAGAGTACTACCATGGCTGGGCTTGCAGGGTTTAGGCTGTATAGTGCGGCCAGAGAGATCATAGCATCGAGGTCTACCCACAACCCAGCACACTCTAATGGAGAATGGAATCAGCTGAAAGTGCACTGGTCCAGTTTCCGCCTAAACCCTGGACCTCCGAACCTGAACTCTCAAGGTCATAAGTCCCAACCAAAACCCTACCCCTGAAACCCTGAAACCCGTGCTGCGACCTTGGCAACACCTTCAACTGTACGCCTGTTAAGGTCTGGTAGAGCTCCGCGGCGCTTGGGCCACAGAACTGCCCCGGCTTCCTCCCTAAGGGGCCTTCTCATCCAGACTCGGAACCTCTGAAAACCAGAAGTGTCCACCTGGCCAAGAAGAAGGCAAGTTGGGATTGTTGGCAAACGGGATGTCAGGTTTAGGATTTGGTTTCGGGAAGCTCGGGTTTAGGGTCCACTTGGCATGAGCGCACACCGCCAGCTTTCCGACACCTAATCCACAGTCGAGTCCTTCGAACCCTTTCCTTGCAGCGCATCGGCTCCAGGGTTAAAGTTTAGGGCTTAGGGTTTTGTTTTTGTAAAGGGCCTTTTGGTGACTGCACGAAGTACAAGCGCCAGGGTTTAGGGTTTAGGGTTTAGGATGCCAGACTATAGGCCGGAACTATCTTGACAAACAGGCAAGGTTGACGCTTGGCATCAGCCATTGGCTGGTTGGTGATGGCAAACTCCATCAACAGGCCACGGAAGAAGAAGCCTCGCCATCTTCCGCACATATATGATATGATGCTTTTGTGAAGTATGATTCCTGTGTGATGTTCCATCGCAGCTCCATCTGGGGAAGATTTCAACTCGCCTGCAGGATGGTTGAAGAGTCGGGCTCGCGTCACCAGGATGGTCGGGAGCCTCTCAGTCGCCTTGTTCTTCAAGTAGCCTTCAGGTCTTGGGATTCGAACTCTTCAGGAGTTTGGGTTTTAGGGTTGCAAGGACCTGCAATCTGCAGGATTTCGGGATGGACCCCTCCCTGAAAGGAGAGAGCTGATCTTCGAGCCTGTGTCTTCGAGGTAGAGAGCCAAGGCAGGACCAGAGGCCAGCCGCACCCCAACTTGATCGAAGAGCTGCGCAGACAGGAAGGGGCCCTGACGGGGGGAAGGGGGTTTCAGGGTGAAAAGTTTAGGGTTTAGGGCTTCTTGAGAGCTTTTGCGGGGTAGGGTTTCGGGTATACGGCTTCTCGGGTTCAGGGTGTCATGCGGCCTGCGTACAAGCTTCAGGGAGCCAAACGTGGCTTTGCCCAGCGAACCCAACATCACGTGCCACCCACCTCTGCCAAGGCCATCAGGGGGAAAGGGCCAGTCAGCAAGTCCCTGCAGCAAGGCTGGCAGCCCTACGACGATCGACGGGACTTTGCATTGCCGCATGGATGTACCACCTCTCCAATAGCACATCTAAACCTCTAGCATCTTGCACGAGCACCAGCTGCACGACTTCTGGCTGGTCAGTCCAAGCCCGATCCTGGTTTAGGCATGTCGTCAAAGGAGCATGAATAGCAGCATTTTTCCGCCTTGTAGTTGCATTCGGTATTCCTAGCTTACTGTGGGCTTGGAGAGCTTGACCTCATCGGTCTAACTTGGCCCAGCCGCCGTCCTGGTCTGCGGATTAGGGCGTGCAGGATAATGCTCAGCACCCGGAACCGAGGAACAAGACAAAAGAGCAGAAGGACAAAGAAATACCGAGAACTGGACCGGAACCCTGAGAGGACCTCCCTATGACGCTCTTTTCTTTCCCTCGGAACCCCTCCAGGCACCCTCTGAAAAACCACCAAGAGTTTCCACTTACCCGGCTCCATACCAGAGACGTAAAATGCAGCAAGCCACAGAATATAACTAGCAAGACGAATACTGGCAGCAGTAGCACCAGCCATTGTGCATTCTCATGACCACAAGAACACTGGCATAGTCACCGTAAATCGCTACAAGCATCATTGCCGCCACCATCATAGCAATTTTTTACCTAAACCCTAAACCCTAATAATAATAACAACAACAACAACAATAAACATAGAAATTATAAGTATAATCATAATCACCATAATCAAAGGTCAAAGTAGTTTTCGACTCGAAGCCTCGCCAGGCGAAGGAAGCCAAGAGCTCCTTGGGCACCGCCCGGGGCACCATAAAGGAGCCTCGGAAGCTAAAGATGCAGAGCTCCTGGGCGTAGATACATGTATGTCTCTGTGTGTGCGTGGTTGTTATTAAATACATGAAATATAAATATAAATATAAGTATAAATATAAATATAAATATATATATATATATATGTAGATATGTGCATGCATGCACGCATGCAAGAATGCACGCATGCACGCACGCATGCACGCATGCACACCTGCACGCATGCACGCATGCATGAATGGATGGATGGATGGATGCACGGACGGACGGATGGATGGATTGTATGTGTGTATGTGTGTATGTGTGTATGTGTGTATGTGTGTATGTGTGTATGTGTGTATGTGTGTATGTGTGTTCGTGTGTATGTGTGTATGTGTGTTCGTGTGTATGTGTGTGTATGTGTATGCGTCTACATATACAACACAAAAACACACATGTATGTATAGATGATATAATGTATGTATGGAGATAAAACGGGTAGCTAAAGACAGCTTGGGTAGATTGATCAGGAGACAGATAAGATAGGCGGCAAATAGATGTATGAATTTTGTCTACGGTTTACATGTTTTGTCAGTTAAATACGTACTTACTGGGTCAGTCAGTCAGTCGGTCGGTCAGTCAGTCCGTCAACATACACAGAGCTAAGTTTGCGGCATGTGATTTGGATGAATATCGAAGCAGGAGTATTAGAAAACAAGCACCCTGAATATCGACCCTAGGAGGATCCTTGTTCTCAGGATCCCAAAAGAAGGGGACTGCGACCCTGAAACAAGCCTTCCCAGGCATGATCAAAGTCCAGGCGGCGTTGAGGAGATGTGTAGGAGCATTGGAAGCCGTCCTGGCTCTCGAAGTTTGAGGTTCATCCATAATGGTAACCGTAAAAACTACCAACAATAGCTGTAGAACCACTGCAATAGCAAGAATGACCTTCAAGCCTACATTTAGAGCACATTTTGGGGATACAAATTGGCCGGCACTACTCACCGCCAGTTCATCGGCGAACCTCAACGCGGTTCTGACAACTGCCGATCCATCGAGCTTCCATCTCCAGGCAACTGGGCCTCCAAGTGGCCCAAAAAATCATCAGGCCTCAAGGTTGCGCGGCAACTTTCGGCACTGACTTCCAGCTATCCTGAACTGGAATCATCATTGCGATGATCGGTGTTCATGGTCACGAGCAGCATTACACTGCGAAGGATGCGGCGACCTCAAATCTTAAACTCTTAAGCCTGCAACCATGACAAATCCTTAACCCTTAAAGCGTGATATCCTGAAACCCTTGAGCCATTGCACGGTACCCCTTGACACCCAACCCCAACAACCAGTTCAGGCAGGGGCAGAGCGAAGTTGGATGGGCGCAAACCACCAGGTCGCCTTCGCTCAGGGGCCTTGGAAATTTCTGACTCTGATGGGTGGGAGCTTCATTATCTAAAACTGTTTCCGGCATCATCAGCACTACAATGTATAGTCTCAGTAGCAGTGTTTTCGTTGCTACTCGCAGTTGCAGTAGTGGTGATGGTGGTGGTAGTAGTGGTAGTAGTAGTAGTAGTAGTAGTAGGAGGGGGAGGAGGAGGAGCAGCAGCAGCAGCAATTATCTTTGATCCTGTTTCTACTCTCATTGCTGCGGCGCCGAGACTGGAAATAAAGGAAGCAGGGTGACGAATGATTCTTGAGACAGTGCCACCACCCTGCCTTCTTCGATAAGCTTTCAAGACTCAGAAACATACGAACACGTGGTCAGACTGTCGAAGCTAGATGGCTAGATGGTTAGATAGCCAGATAGTGAGACAGCTAGATAGGTAGATAGGTAGATAGGTGGAAGCATAGATAGGTAGCTAGATGGGGAGATAAACGCTTTATAGATACATACTAGATGGATAGATAGATAGATAGATAGATAGGTGGATGGATAGATAGATAGATGGATGGACGCATGCTGGATCATGGATGGATGGATGGATGGATGGATGGATGGATGGATAGATACAGGGATACATAGATAGATGGATAGAAGATAGATACAAAGATAGAGAGAGAGAGAGAGAGAGAGAGAGAGAGAGCGAGAGCTGGAGAGAAAGAGGAGAGAGAATTGAGAGACAGAGAGCGAGGGAGACAGACAGAGAGGGACAGAGAGAGAGAGAGAGAGAGAGAGAGAGCGGGAGAGAGAGAGAGAGAGACTGTGTGTGCGTGTGTGTGTGTGACAGAGAGGATGCTTGACACTGCCCCCTTTGCTCACG